AGAAGCTCGTGCAGGCCAATAAGCCTGGCTGTTTCACTGAGGCAGTGCCAATGAAGAGTTGGAATTGTAGAACGAAGTGACAGGAAAAGTATTCTTATTTTAAATGAATGGAAGATACATTTTAAAGGCTAAAATAAATGCAAACATTATGCAGAACCATGAGAAATCTGGTTACACCTTTGCTGTTCTCATCTGGACCAAAGCCAATGTTAACCTTTCATCAGAAAAGAAAGGCTGAGTCAGAGGTTCCCTAAAAAGACTACTGAAGATGACACAGCTACACCCATGTCACAATAAAATAGTAGGAAACCCTTTCCCCTCTTTCTGCTGGCTGAGGTTAAATAGTGTGGAATGTATTTTTCTTTTGGCTGCTCTCAGTGATGCCAGATTTCAACCCCTCATCTGGGTTAAGGGCTGCTGCAGCACGGTGCCCCCTCAGTTGTCCTGCAGTGGCACATTTCTATAGTTTCTACAGTTTAACCCATTATAAGATCATTTTATAGGATTTAATGAAAACCATATGCCTAGGATTCCTACCAGATAAACAACTGGCTTTGAGTGCAGAAAAGGGAGCAACGGCCACTGAAGGGCTTTCAAGACAAGTTTGGCATGCACTTTGTTATAAACAGTATTTGTGCTTAACTGGCATTTAAAACAAATAAAGGAATTGTTTCACATTTTGGAAATATGCTCAACTTTCTTGCCAAGAGTTAGATGAGAAGACTGATACGACACTCATGTCTGAAACTGCAGTTAGTAGCAGGTTAGCTTAGTGTGAAAAATAAAAAAGGATAAACATCAAGTTGAGCTGGAGTGTCCTTTTCACTTTGAGACTCCAGGGACTTACTGCCAAGAGCCAAGAACCAGTCTGGCACATAAACCCCCTGTAAAACCACAAAACAGATTAAACAAATAGTAACAAAGACAGTCAGATAATGTAAAGAGTTTTTATTTCCATTTATCTGGCCTTCAATGGTATATCTGATGCTGTCTTCAGTCTGTTACAGTGTGAGCAGTGCTGCAGGTGGCTGGAGCCCTGCCATGTCGTGGATCAGACCAGGTGCACAGAGTTTCACAACCCCTTACACTCAGCGGAGAAACTCCAGCCTTCCAGGAAAGGTTTCCTGCTTTAGGCCACAGAAAACCAGCCGTGCCACAGATCCTAGAGGGGGAAAACCACAGACTGGAGGAATGTGGAGGCTTTTACTGCCAAAGTACTGGCCGACCCAAGTGGTGCCCCGAGGACAGGTTTAGAGTCAGCCGTGTAATTAATGAAGCCCCTGGAGCTCCAATAAAAGTGTTGAGATGTGACGAGGGGGTGAGGAGCCATACTGGTTTTTCCAAGTCTAGCGCAGCAAGTGGAAATTTGGATTTATTATAGCTGTCTCACCGTTTAACACCCGAGTAATTAGGTTCTTTATTTATCCTCTTAGGTAAATATTCCCACCTGAACATGTTCACATTTTTCTCTGGAGTGCAATAGTCAAAAAGCAATAGATAGCAGGTAGTAATTTGGCTTTAAAGACACTTGTATCAGTGCCCACTGGCCAAAAGCTCAATCTATTACATTCTAGTTATAGGATGACCTTCCTAAAAAGTCAGGTCATCTTCTATAACATGTTTAAATGCTTAAGTGCTGATCTCAGCTCAGTAAAATTCCCCCTTGAGCATTCAGTGGCACAAGCTAGTTTTTCTGGGCAAACACATAAGCTGATGGCTCAATCAGGTTGGGACCTTTGTGCAATTAGGAAAAATAAACTGCTATGTATTGACAATTTATTGCATCTGTCATTGTAAGTTCAAAAAAATCTTTGTAATAATTCAATAAATTATTGAATTACTATTTAATAAATATATAGGAACCATGGACTTAAGAGCATTTTTGTTTCATAAAACTATTCTCACAGAAGATATTTGGGGGAAAAAGAATAACGTTTTTAAATTGATCTTTTTTTTTACTTTGACTTTTTGTTTTGTTCAGATTGCAGAAATTAAATCTGGCAAGGTCAAATAAAGGACTTTGGATTTATATTACATGATGCATTGGGCCCCAATAGACTGACTCCTGGTAAAGTACCATGCAGATTGGATACAGGTGTACCATCCATTTAGCAAGCATTCACATTGTGCACCCTGCCAACCGTATTGCACAGCAGCAGACATTTGTACCTTTTTGGCAAACAAAACATTCATTACAAAAAAAACAAACCAATAGGCGACATAGTAAAGTGACATTTCTGTCTCAACTGGGAGGGCAACATGATGATGCAAAGCCAGAACTGGATATATATTAAAAGAAAATGGTTTAGCTTTTCTGGCAACAAGTAAAATGATACCTTTGACACCACTCTCATGATGGTTCATTACATAGAAGACTACACGTGGCAGCCTGTTAGCTTAGCTTAACATGAAGACTGTATATGGGGGCAAACAGCAATCCTGAGCCTGCTCACTGATCACAAAATCCACTTACTAGCACTGTTTCTTGGTTGGGACCATTAGCTTCCTCCGTCAGTTGCCCAAAACAGAATATAGAGTTAGTTGGTGAGCTTTACAGATGGATTTCGTTACCTTTGGACAGAGCCAGGCCAGTCTCCTCCTGTTTCCAGTCTTTATGCTAAGCTAAGCAGCTACTGATCGCAGCCTTTGAGAGATTAACCAGAAAACAAAAAAGTATATTCTTCAAAATATCACACTATTCCCTTTAAACTTATATTTTTTTCCTTTCTGCCATAACCATAATAGTACACCTAACTTCATTGGACAGATTCTGCATGATCATCACTAATTAAACATCAAGACCTATTTTTTGTTGACTGTGGCAGCTGTGACTTTTGACTTGGTTGCAGTTCAGTAAGGGACACTTAACCATTGACTGACTAATATAATTAAACTACTTTAACCTCTGACCAATTTTACAAACATTAGTAAACACCCTATAGCATAAAAAAATCAGGCCATTTTTAAAACACTGGAAGAGTGGTGTGCCTACAAGCATAACAAAATGACAAAATGGTGACTGGTTTTCTTGACGAATGTTAGGCATTATTGTGACCGCTGAAGCACATTCCTTCTTGAGTGCCTATAACACTAACATGATTGGGCTAACTTGTTTCACTCATCAGTTGAGGTCCTGTCTCAGTCTGTCTGATCTCCCACAGGCAGAGGTTCTGGAAAATGTAGGTTTCTGAAGATTTACACACTTAAACGACATTATTTAAAAACAAACAAACAAAAAAAAAAAAACAGATCAACAAAATACTTCTATCAGTGCTTCTCTCATGTACAAGATGTACAGTTTGTAACTGTAAAATGGAAAACACAAACACAAAAATGCAGTGGCAGCCATGTGCTACTGCTCCTTCTGTTCTCCCAACTGAAAATGTCAAGAGGCTGCTGAGCTGAACGCAGCCTGACGTCACTGTCAGTCATTCAGTAAGTGACTGCTCCACTGTCAAGTAAAGTTCATTCTCGGAGATTTTCTGTACATTGCAGAACATCGCCTTCTTTATTCAGCAGG